TAAAAAGTATTTATTCTTAAGTTATAGGTGGACACGATATCTTTATTTTACATTTTATGTGGTGCTGAGGATCAAACCCAGGGCCTCGCATGTGCTACGCAAGAGCTCTCCGCTGAGCCACAACCCCAGTCTCCCCATCCCCGCGCAATTTTTTTTTAAAAAGTCAAACTTTGGGGATCGAGTGGAAGCCCCCCAGGAGCCCGCTCAGCTCTGATCCCTTCTTCTCCTGCCTTGGGGTCACCGTGGTTCTGAAGCGGTGGCTTCCCTGGGGTCCTTGTCTAGCCATTCACCAGCGCTTCTGAGTTCCCACGGTGGCGGAGCAGAGCCTGAGCGCCAGGGAGCTCGCAGGGAGCTGCCCGCAGTGGCCGGCCCGCCCGCAGCTGTCCCGTAGGAAGGCGCCTGTGTGTCCCAGGGATGAGGGATACGACATGGTCTCTAGATTTTACGTAAACAGGACCGGTCAAGCTGCCCGTGCCTTGTTTGAGTCCATTTTATGTTTTGGAGAACTCYGGCTGCCACGAGAGCCACTTCAGTCATCCTGACTACCTCATGTCCCACTGGGGGACATGCCCGTTTGTCCCTTCTGTCGTTAAACATTTAGGTGTTTCCATTCCTCTCTCAGGCTGGGGGGGGCGGTGGTGAGCGTCTCTGTGGGTCCCATGCCAGGTGACAGAGGTTCCCTGGGAATGAGTGGGTCAGGAGGGGCTGGCAGGCTCCCAGAACACGTGAGTTACGGCCACGAGACCCTCCAAAGTGCTCTGAAGGACACTCCTTGATCAGTGTCCAGTTGAGGGACGGCACCAAGGACCAGCCAATACTGATGGGTGGGAGCACAGGGAGAAGGGGAGGTGTGGAGGGGCGCAGGGCTGGGGCAGCGCCCGTGGGGAAGTGGTCAGTGGTGCCCAGGACCTAAATCTCCTGTCAGGGAGCACGGCCTCCTCTGTCCAGCAACTCTGCCCAGCTGCTGTGTGCCCCTGGATAAGGCATAGTCCCTCTCTGGCCTCAGCCTCTTAGCTCTCCATCCAGCTCGGACACAAGGGCCACCGAGATCCACAGCCTTCACGTGCTCGACTGTCCTTGGCAGGTGGCGGTGGCTTCCTGCCCCTGGCCCAGCAGGCAGAGGCCAGCCTTGGCTGGGCTGGCAGGGCTGGCAGCTGGCATGTGGCAGGTGGGCTCTGATCAGGGGGCTGAGTGGGCAGGGTCCTGGCAGCAAGCTCAGCAGGGGCTGGGGATAGGTGTGAGGGGCTCCCAGGGGGACCAGGAGGGCCTGGGGGCCACAGGGCATCAGCCCAGACCCCTGCACCCGCATGGCCCTGGCCCTGCCCTAAGACAGCCAGGCTCTGTGGGGGTTTTTATTTTTTATTTTTTGGCACCGAGGATTGAACTCAGGGGTCCTCGACCACTGAGCCCCACCCCCAGCCCGATTTGTATTTTATTTACCGAGGGGGTCTCACTGAGTTGCTCAGCACCTCCCTGTTGCTGAGGCTGGCTTTGAAATCGTCAGCCTCCTGCCTCAGCCTCCCCAGCCTCTGGATTACAGGTGCCTGGCAGCTCTGTGGGTTTTATGTGCTGGTTTTGCTGGGGGCTGGACTCCTGTGTTCCTGTTGTACTGAGGAGAGCCTGGAGGGCGGGAGGGCGTGGGGGAGGGCGTGGGGGAGGKCRTCCCAGGGAGTGTTAACGTGGTTCCCGTGGTGACGTCCAGGGCCTGGGAGCAGGAGCGCAGCGGGCTGGTGTGTGGCTTGTGGTCTGTAGTGTGTGGGCTGCATGTGATCGTGCACGTTGGTGGCACTGGTGTGTGTATTGGTATCTGTGTGCCCACGTGTGTGCACCCACCACTAAACAGCAGAGGCTGCGGAAGAGACCGGCCTGGAAACCCCTGCCCTTTGGTGTTGGTAGTCGCTGTGGGGGATTTTCATGGCTTCGAGCTATCGAGGACAGGGTGCTTTCCAGCAGCGGGCAGGGGCTGCAGACGTCGGGGCTTCTCAGCCTGAGGGAGGCTCTGGGCACTGGCAGGGATCACAGTCCCCCTTATTGGCAGCGTGACCTTGGTCAGGCTGTTGGGCACCTCCGAGCCCCAGTTTCCACATCTGTAAGTTGGGGATATCAGTACCTGCCCCAGAGGTGGGCAAGGACCCCCTTAAGGCCCCGCTGCAGAGTGGAGCCAGGCATGTGGTGGGTCTCGGTCAGTGCTGTCCCTGTGGGCCACCTCAGTCCTCTCTGGCGGTGGCCAGGGTCAGAAGAGGCTGAGACTGTGCCACCACCAGGAGCTCATATCCCCCGGGATTGTCCCTGGTGAGCCACCCCTTGGTCCCCTGTCCCCTGAGCAGCCACACTGACGTTGGGCAGTGAGCCAAGGGTCTCGCATCCCGGGGACGGCGACGCCCATCTGAGCCCCCGAGCTCCAGGTCCCTGGGTTCCCTTGACCCCACACCCTCTCTCTTCCCCACAGGACGGGCTGAAAGGGGACCCTGGAGCCAGATGGCCTGGGTTCCACCCTGGCTCTGCCCTTGTCTGTCTTCACGACCTTGGGAAGCCCTTCACCCCCCTGCCTGTGTCCTCACCTATAAGCTGGACATGTGGCTGGTGCCACCTCAGACCCCCACCTGCCCCGGGCGCCCTGTCAGCGAGGGGGCCTCCCGAGCTCCGCAACAAGGGCCTCCCTCCAGGACCCCCCTCCCTCCAGGACCCCCCTCCTTCCAGGACCCTCCTCCCTCCAGGACCCCCTCCCTCCAGGACCCCCCTGGATCCCCCTCCCCTCCAGGACCTCCTCCCTCCAGGACCCTCCTCCCTCCAGGACCCCCCTGGATCCCCCTCCCCTCCAGGACCTCCTCCCTCCAGGACCCCCCTTTCTCCAAGACCCCTCTCCCCTCCAGGACCCCCCTCCCTCCAGGACCCCCTGGCATCATTGTGAGAACACGGGACCCTCCTCAGACTGCACTCKCGTCCCAGCACTTGGGGACCCAGGCACACCCTCCTAGCTGAGCTGCGGTCACCTAACCCTCTCACTAGCAAAACGAAGCACCGCCATGTGCCTGGAGGGCCAGGAGGGACCAGCACACAGCGCCTCTGAGGGACTGTCGCCCAGAAACGCGACTTGACCTGACAGTTTCTCCCAGTTTGAGGGCAGTTAACTCGGGTCCCCTGCCCCTCCCTCCCAGAGCCAGGTGGCCATCCTCCCTCCCCCGCCCCTGCTAGTCCAGCCTCTTCCTCTGTCCATCTGTCTCCCCAGATGGGGGGAGAAATGTCKCGGTTGGCCCACTTTCTAACTGGAAGGAAACCATATGGAGGGGTTAGCTGGAGCCCAGGGCACAAGGCCACTCCCTGGCTTCCTGTGACGGGGTGGAGGGCTCCGTCCTGCCCAAGACCCTGGCACCTTCTCCCTCTGCCTCAGGACCTCCCGGGACCATGCTCTTCTTTGGTGTTTGGGACTTTTTGGGGTCTAGGAGAGACCAGGGAGGTGTGTGTGTGTGTGTGTGTGTGTGTGTGTGTGTGTGTGAGAGAGAGAGAGAGAGAGAGAGAGAGAGAGAGAGCACAGTAAGCACACACGTGTAGCCTGGGGTCCAACAGGGGCCTGGCCCAGAGCAGCCACCCCCAGGACTCTCTCCTTTTGCGGGAGCCCGAGACGGGAGGGTTTGACAAGTGCCACCCCCCAAGGCTCAGCTCGGTGTGGTGCCGGGTGCTGCCACTTTCCTGTGGGGCGGGGGTCAAGGTCCTTGGGCGCAGCCACCTGCACAGAGATGCCGGGGGTGGGGGAGTCTGCGGAGGGCTTAGGTGGAGGCCTGGGGGCGACTGGGCTGGCAGCSGGGGCCCAGCCGCGGTGGGTGGTTGGGGCATTGGCTGGGCCTGGGGCCAGCCCTGTTTTGAGAGGGACCCAGAGGAGGGAGAGGGGCACCACTGACGGAGCCCCGACCACACCACCAGGGCCTCAGCCTTGTCCTCAGAGGCCCCTGCCCTGCAGCCCAGTGGGGAGGGTCTGTTCCCTCTGCTGCTGTCACCCTCTGACTCCAGCTCTCCCCACCTGTCAGGTGCAGGGTGACACAGGTGTCCACAAGTGCCTCCATACCAGGGGGTCGGGGGGATTTAAATCCATGAAGGACACCCCCTCTTGGCCACACTTGAGAGGCCCGTCTGAGGCTGGGAACCAGCTGGGTGGGAATTCAAACCGAGGCCGGGCTCCGGCCAGGGTCACTACCTCTACCCAGGGCCTGTGGGTGGCYTCAGGGACAGGAGCCCAAGAAGTGTGTGGATGTGAGCTTGGGGACACTGATGGTCCAGGTGGCTCTCCTTCTCAGCGGATCTTCTAAAACCCCCTCTGAGATGGTTCCAGTAAAAATAACCAATATTTGCTAAGCGCCTCTTGTGTACTAGAYGCTAACTGTATTTACATGTATTAGCTCATTTATTTTATAACGATCCAGTGAAGTACAGAATCTCATTATCTCCACTTTATAAGTGATGTGTCTCAAATACGTCAACAGCTGAGGTCACACAGCAGTAAGTGGCAGAGTGGAGATTTTTCTTCTCTTGGTACTGGGGACTGAACTGAGGGGCACTTTGTCACTAAGCTACACCCCCAGTCCTTTGTGTTATTTTTATTTAAGACAGGGTCTCACTAAGTTGCTGAGGCTGGCCTCAAATTTGCAATCCTCCTGTCTCAGCCTCCCGAGTGACGGGGGTTACAGGTGTGCACCGCTGTGCCTCGTCAGAGTTGAGATCTGAACCCAGGCAGTCTGGCTCCTAAGCGTGATGCTGGCCGCCTCTTGCACTTGCTTCCCACTGCTGGGTAGGGAAACTGAGGCCAGCTGGTGAGTGGAGCCAATTCTGCGCTGTGGCTGTTCTGACTGAACGGCTTGTGTCCAGAGGCTGGGACCTGGGGGCTGAGAGTCAGGCTGGGGACCTTGGGCAGCYCCCGTCTCCTGGTGTGTGTGTGTGTGTGGAGGGGACCATGGGGGGACTCGGGCTCCCCCACCCACCCAGGCTGACCACAGACTGTCCCTCAGGGGGCGTGTGCATCGCCCAGTCRGTGAAGATACCGCGGGAGCCCAAGACGGGAGAGTTTGACAAGATCATCCGGCGGCTCCTGGAGACCTCCAACGCCAGGGCCGTCATCATCTTTGCCAACGAAGATGACATCAGGTGGGTGCGGGTGGCAGTGGGGTGGGCACGGGATGCACAGAGGTGGGAGTGGGCAGGTGGATGTGAGAGAACTTTCGGGCGGGGACCTAGGCTATTGCTAACGGCCACGCTTCCCTCCCCACCCCGTTCCCACATCCACTCTGCCTCCCAGGGAGGGCTGGAGGCTATGGCTTGGGGCCAGGCTACCTCGGTTCTCATCCTGCCTACTAGCTGTGWGACCCCACGTGAATTCTTAACCTCTCTGGGCCACTTTGCTGTTAAAAATGTGACCTCATGATGCCTGCCTGCTGGTGTTCGAGAGCGGAATGCAGGAATGGGCGTCAAGGGCTTACGGTAGGCCTGGCATGAAGGGGGTGCCAGGGCACATTGGCCACCTCACCGTCCCTCCCTCCTTTCCTTGGAGCCCAGGACAGGGAAGAGTCTGGGCCAGGTTCTAGGGCTGACTCGCTTGGGCACATAATCACTGTGGGCAGGATGGTCCCCTCCGAGGGCCTCTGTCTCTGCGTCTGCAGACTGGGGGCAGGGGGCTGTGGCTGCCTGGACATAYAGGGCAGAGACCCTGGGCCTGTCCCTCTCTGCGGGCTCTCCGCTGGGTAGGGATGGCCTTAATGGATGACCTTYTCTTCCTCTTGGTTTTTCTTTGTCCCTCCTCCCTGAGCCTGGTGGCCGGGTCAGGTTGGTTAGCAATGCCCTGTCTGGGGGGAGACACAGCCTCTGCACTCACTGCCCCAGGCTGCCTGGGCCCACGGGCAGACCCGGGCCCTTTCCTTTTGGCAGTGCCTGGGGTGGAGCCCAGGGCCTCCTGCCTGCCCACCTATGCGCCACCCCTGAGCCACACCCCAGCCCTGGGGCATTTTCCTTTCAAACCCTTTTGGTCACTTGGTGAAGACCCCGTTCTGGACTCCTGAGTTCCCACGACACAGAAAATCCCCAGGGACATTTCCAGRTCGGGGAGGATGGATACAGGAGGGAGTTCTGGAAGGTCACTRAGGCCTCAAGAGCCAAAGGACACCTCTGATGGGGGTCTCAGGCAGGGGRAGGGGGTTGTCCTCAGGGTCCCGTTCTGACCGCCCCCAAGGTTCACAGAGGCAGCGTCTGAGGGGAACAGGTCCCTAACTTCTGGCTCTGGATGTTACTGATGCTCCCAGCCTTGCCTGAAGCAAGGGGGCCCCTTCTGAGCCACCGGTCCCTGTCCCTGCTGCCACCACTCCCCAAAGCCAGCCACTTCCCGTACCCCACTCGGCCATGCACCCTGCTCCAGGCTGCCTGCTGGGAGGGAGGATGAGGCTCAGTCCTTTGTCCTGGAGAAGAGGCCCCAAAGGGAGGGACCCGAAGGGACTTAGATTGGCTCCAGAGCTGGCTGTGGGCGTGTGGGGGAGGCAGGTCATTTCTGGAAACCCACATGCATTTCCAGAAGCAAACAGAAGTAAAAATAACCCCAGGTGGCTTTGCAGGATGGAGGGCTGGGAGCTCTGGTCACGTGGGCTAGCGGATGCAGGTGGTATGAACAGGCTGTGGGCAGCCTGCTGGGGGGGGGGGCTGCCTGGGAGGACCTGGAAGGTCAGGAGTAGGGAGGTGACGGGTGAGGATGGGCCACAAGGCCAGCTCGGTGCTGCCTCTGGGGCCTGCAGGGATTTCTTTCTGGAAGCCCCAGGGACTCCTGCTCAGCCGCACAGGTCCTGGAGTCCAGGCCTGGTCCTCCCCAGGCACAAGGGTGGCCAGTTACTCGCCTCCTTTCTGCCCCAGACCCTCCCCTGGGGGAGCTGCCCACTCCTCTCTGGTTTTCTCCTCCCAGAGGCCTTTGCAGGGGCCACTTAATTCCTGCATCCAGTGAGCACCCGTGGACCACTGTGGGCTCCTTGTTGCTGTGTTAGGCTCAGTCCCTGGTTTAAGACCACTGTCCATGGCTGGGCGTGGTGGTGCACACCTGTAATCCCAAGGGCTACAGAGGCTAAGACAGGAGGATCACAAGTTCAAAGCCAGCCTCAGCAATGAGAGGCCGTAAGCAACTCAGGGAGACCCTGTCTCTCAATAAAATACAAAATAGGGCTGGGATGTGGCTCAGTGGTCGAGTGCCCCTGAGTTCAATCCCTGATACCCCAAAAAAGACCTCTGTCCATGAGGACGGGGTAGGGGGTGAGCACCAGGCAGCCCTCCCCCCATCCACCTGGGTAGGGTGAGGGGAACAGCTCTTTGAGGGACCTGGATTTTGGGCACAGAAGATGGAGGAARGAGAGGAATGGGCAGAGGGCACTGTGTGCAGAGGGGTGAGGAGGGGGTAGTGGCRGGGTAGCCGTGTGACAATGGGTATGAAGTAAGGAGGGGCTAAGGAACATGGGGTGGCATCCAGCTAGGAAGGCACAAGTGCGAGGGGACAGGGGCTGGCAGATGTAGTTCTGGAACTGAGTCAGACAGGGGCAGGTGTGGGTCTGGGGAGACAGGTGTGGGCTTGGGCACAGGCCCAGGCCAGGGGAGTAGCTGTGCCAACGGCAAGTGTGGGCCAGGGCTGGGGGCTCCGTGGGCCTGTGGGTACGGTCAGAGGGCTCAGGGGGCATTGGCAGGTGGCCAGGCATAGCCTGGGGGAGAGCCTGGGCTGTGGGAGAGCATGGTGTGGGCTGTGGCCGTGGTGGGGCGGCTATGTGGCCAGACAGGGGGGCCGGGCCGGCGTGTGCTCCGCAGGCGCGTGCTGGAGGCGGCGCGGAAGGCCAACCAGACAGGCCACTTCTTCTGGATGGGCTCTGACAGCTGGGGCTCCAAGATCGCACCTGTGCTGCACCTGGAGGAGGTGGCCGAGGGAGCCGTCACTATCCTCCCCAAGAGGATGTCTGTGCGAGGTAGGCATGGCGCTGGCCTTCCCACTGCCCGTCACCCCACACTGCTCTTGTTGTCCTCCTCTCCTTCCTTCCTCTCTGCCCCCATCTTCCCTCCTCTGGCCTTGGCCCGCAGCCTCCTGTGTACAGTGGCGCTGGGCTGAGGAGCCTCGTAGGCCCCGCTCAGCAYAGCCGAATTCAAGTGCAGATTCAGGACCTTTCTTCATCTCTTCTCAGATACTTCTGGGTGTGGGAGGCGTGTGGCACGCTCAGGAGGCTCCTCTGCKAAGGGTTCTCCTCCCCCCACATGATTCCACCCTTCTCCCATCTGGGAGAGCCCTCTGCCAGCAGGGTGGGGAGCTGCCAGCAGGCTGGGAGACGGGGTGCCTCCAGAGCCTGCCGAGGCTGGCAGGCCTCCGATGGCCTTGGGCTAGGCCTGCCCTGCATCCCCTCCTTTCAGGGCAAAACCCACAGTCACCTTGGATAGGGACAAACTGCTCTGGCAGAGCCTTGCAGGGTGCTAGGCATGAAGTTTCCATTAATGGCCTGATTTGGCAGGGACCTTGCGGTCTCGCCACGGGGGAGGCGGGCTGGTGGCCTCCTCCTTTGCTGCCCTCTCTCTGTTCATTGGAACCCAGCGTTGATGGAGCGCACATCTGCCTCTCGGTCAAACTTTCCAAGAGACTGAGGCCGAAGGAGGGGACAAGCTCAAGGTCATGCAGCAGTGTCCTCTCTTCACCCTGAGGCACAGCACGCACAGGCAGCGGAAGTTTCCACACCACCCCTCTCGGTCCCAAACCTTAATAAGCACAAAATGACAACAGCCCTGGCTTCCCGGTGCCCTCAAATGCTAGTCGCCTTTCAGATCCCACATGGAGTGTTCCCAGACTCTGTGATGCCCCCCTACCCACTCTCCTGGAGGAATATAGTGATGCTCAGAGAGACTGGCACCTTTGGCAGTGAGTGGCAGAGTAGATCTTTGAACACAGGACTTGCTTAGGAAGTACCTTTTGTCTCTGGGACATTAGAGAAGCTTTTAGAACAGTGGTTCTCATCCGGGGGTGATTTTTGCCCCCAGGGGAAGCTTGGCAATTCCTTTGGTTGCCACAGTTAGGGGGTGATGCTTCTGGCATCTAGTGGGTAGAGGGTCGGGACGCTGTTCAACATCCTACACTGCACAGGAGAGACCCCCACAACCTGACCCAAAGTGTCACAGAGCAGAGGCAGAGCAGCCCTGGGGTAGGCCAAGTGTCACCATCCCTCAGGGGTTTTTCTCCTGCAGCTCTGACAGTCACTGAGCTTCTGTCTGGACCTTTCCATGGACAGGGTGCTCAGCACTTGATGTGGGTGCCACTGAACTTTCAGATGTTCTGGCCTGTCCCCAGCAGTTAGCCACCTGGGGACAGGGGAGTCAGTGCTGCAGAGGCATCTGGGAGGAGGGAGAGGGCACCACTCACCAGCAGCAGCCTGCTTGGGCTGGARCAGGGCTGTGAGTCTAGCGGAGCACGAGAAGAGAAGGCTGCATTTGTCATCAGTGGGGACATTCTGGATTTGAAGGGGAAGATCCAGGTCCTGGCCTTGCAGTGTGCCCTGGGTGAACCCCCCTTCTCTGGCCAGGGCTCCTCACCAGCCTCTCTGCCTTCATCTCRGGACCCCCGGGCCGCTCCTTTTCCCAGAAGTCTGCTGTTAGCATTTGGGTGGCTTCAGGCTGCAGGAACGTCCCCGTCAGCGTGCTTCGCGCCCATAAAGCAGCAGCGTAGATTACACATKCTCCCCCTGGGACTTAATCCAGCTCTTTTCATTTTGAATGAAATGAAATGTTCCCCGTTTTGTTTTTGCCGGCTGGCCCTGGATCAGAGGGTGTGCGCTTCGCTCCCTCTCTTGGCCTGGGTCACCTTTGAGCCAGGGGCACCGGGGAGAGCGGGGCCGAGACCCTGACGGCCGGTTCCTCCCCAGGCTTCGACCGCTACTTCTCCAGCCGCACGCTGGACAACAACCGGCGCAACATCTGGTTTGCGGAGTTCTGGGAGGACAACTTCCACTGCAAGCTGAGCCGCCACGCGCTCAAGAAGGGCAGCCAYGTCAAGAAGTGCACCAGTGAGCACCAGCCTGGGGCGGGGCCTGATGGGCGGGGCCAGGGGCGGGCCTGATGGGCGGGGCATGAGGAGGCGGAACCTGATGGGCGGGGCCTGTGGGGGCGGGGACTGCTGGAGGGGCCAGGGGCTGGGCCCTGAGCCTGCCAGCGAGAAAGCCTGGCAGGGAGGAGTCCAGGGGGTCCAAGAGCTGATAACCTCGGGACCCCTGGGCTGGAGGCGGGAGGCAGCAGGTGTGGAGATGAAGGGGAACCTGGGGGCGGAGTTGGGAGCGCATGGGCGGGGCCTGGGGGCGGAGCCACAGCCAGTTGAGGGTCTGTGGAGGGCTTCGGTTAGAGCAAACCACTGTGTCCTCTCCGGAGACAGTCAGAGGGGCTCCTCGGTCTCTGCAGGGGCCCCCTCCAGCGTGTGCTTTGGGTTTCATCTGCATATCCCTAGCCCTAGACCAGTGGGACGGAAGTGACCCCACCTGCCCTGTGTCCAGTCCTGGCACGCAGTGGTCTGGACGCTATAGAAACCACTCTAACCCCTTGGGTTTCTCTCAATCACTCAACAAACACCAGCTTGACTCCCAGGACGCCCTGCCCCGGCGCTGAGCATAGTGGATCTAGTAATGAACGGAAGAGTCAGAATTCTCTTGGAATTTTTATTCTAATGAAGAAGCAGATGATAAACAAGATAAATAAGTGATAGACTATGTCCGAAGGGAAATGTGCAGGAGACACAAAACGGATAGGAAAAAGAATGGGCAGGCTGTGCGGGGAGGGGAACTGCAACCGTCAAGAGGCCTGGGAAGCCCTCCCTGCAAAGGAGACGTCTGAGGCTGAAAAGAAGAAAGAAGCGAACCTGGTGGAGGGCAGCGACTGGTCATTTTTCAGGTGGGAAAAGGGAGGCCCAGATGAGGTGAGTAAAGGGACCTGAATTCCCACAGATGGGAGATGRTGAAGCGGGATTTGAACCCGGGTCTGAGCTCTTGGCCTTCAGCACTTAAGGTAGCAAGATTGTTCCCCGGGGGCGTGTCTGGATGTGGCTGTGGGTGTGCTCTGGGTCTGGGCAGCTCTGCAGCAGGACCCCTCAGTGACATGAGAGGGGAATTCTGGGTGCCTCCCAACCTGAGTGGTACCTAAGTGAGGGTGAGGAGCTCTGTCCTCTGTCCTTCCACTCTGCCCACGCAGTGTAAGCAGAGGCTCAGGGGGGCCAGGGACAGGCTTCCTGGAATCGTTGACAGATGCTGGTCCACCAGGGCCAGGGGAGGAGGGAGCCAGGGGAGGTGGGGGGTAGTCAGTGGAGGGTGTGCTGTCCTGTGCTGGCTCATAGCCACTGGATGGGTGGGGGGGTCACGGGGGGAATCCCCTGGAGACCCAGGCAAGCTCACAGCCCAAATCACTTTGTCTAGAGCCACATGGTCACAGAGGCTGGGCCCTCAGGCCAGTGTGACCACATACCCAGGTTCACTCCTGTTCTGGTGTAATTAYGGAGAACATCCTCTTTTATTCTCAAAAGTGCTCCCAGTGGAGTGAAAAACTGTACTGACCCCTGATCCTAGGGATGGGAATGGCATGGTGAGCCTGGCACGGTGGGGGGGGGGGCAAGACTGGCAACTGGGCCTCCCAGCCCCAGTGCCTAGGCCGTCCAGGGCCCCGCAATGTCTGAAGTCACCTTACTGTGTGAGGGGGACGGAGGGGAGAAGGCCCCTGTGCAGACCTGGGTKGGGACTTGGAACCCTTTTAGCAGCCCTGAAGGGAGGCGCCGCTCCGCCTGTCAGAGMAGGTAGGAGAGGGGGACCTGAGCTGGGTTCTGAAGAGGGCAGCTTTGTCCCGAGCCTCCAGCAAGCCCCGTGACCCTCTTGAGCCTTTGCTTGCTCATCTGAGAAAYGGGGTTGATGGCGAGCCAGCCCAGGGGATGTCTCTGCAAGGAAGGGATCATTAATGGAGGTACTTGCTGAAMTGTAAAATGGTAGCTCTCAAGCCTGGCTGTGCCTGGAGAGCTTTTAAAACTATTACCCCCCACCCCCCGTCCCCTGCTGCCTGGCCAACTGAGCCAGGACCTCAGGGGCTGCGGATATTTTCTCTGTTCAGCTTTCCGGGTGATTTTAATATTTTAATATGTACCTAGGGATGGAGCAGTGGTCCCTATGCGTTTCCTACATTGCATCATCGGGGGGACCTTTTAAAAACACGGACACCTGACTTCTACCCCTGAACACTCTGATTTAATTTGTTCTGGGTACATCTGAACAGCAGGATTTTTTTTTTAAAGAACCCCAGGTGGTTCTACTGTGCAGAAAATTGGGGATTCTCTGACTCAGAGGAGACCTGAGTGGTGGGAGGGAAGGCAGAGCCACGGCAGGCACCCCAGGCCCCAGAGGGTGCGGCACAGGGGTGGAGGGAGACCGGTGGACATGAGGGGATGGGGGACAGCACCTTGCCGCTGACCTGTATCTTCTCGCTGCCTGTGGAGCTCCATAGAGGCTGGTCCAGGTTCTTGTGTGGCCCACGTTGGACACCGTGAGCSTGCCCATCTCTGGGGGAAGCGAGGGCCAGGGAGCCACTGGGAATGTGTGTGGGACCTGGGACACTGAGATCTGGTGCTGGTGCCCTATGTCCTGCCCAGGGGTGAGCAGGAAGAGGAGGACAGGGGGACCCCAGTGCTGGTTTGGGCACRTGGGAGGAGGGTAAGGGAAGGACCCAATCCTGAGTCTAGATCCAGCCCTGTCTTCTCCCTGCTGTGTGACCTTGGGCAAGTTATTGAACTTCTCTGTGTCCCAGATGCTCCTCTRTAGAACAGGGATGTCACCTCCCATCTCCGGGGGTGGTTGAGAGGATGCAGCCTATAACGAGGCTGTCTGGAAAGTGCTGCGCATGGCAGGTGCTGATGGAGGGCTGTCCCCGTCGACCGGAAGGAGCCGTGGGATCCAGACAGGCACTCGGGTCGTGTACTAGCCTGTGTTGTACCAAGTCTGTCTGTCTGCTCTCGTATCCTGGAGGAGGGACTGTGCCACCCCGAGGGGTGGTGTGACGGTTACAGGAGTGGCACCCATTTTACAGAAGAGGAAATGGAGGCGAATTGCGAGAAAGATGGCAGAGCTGACTCACAGGCAGTTCGGCTCCCGGCCCTGCCTCCCTCCCTGGTCCCTCCTGATCCCTCTCGGCCTCCCTCTGCCCCCTCCCTCTGCCCCCTCCCCCCAGCTGTGGCCAGGAGCCCCTGACTCCCGGGTTCCCCAGCTCCCCACAGTCCACAGCCTGCCTGTGCCAGCCTCAGTCCCAGACCCAGCAGATGCCATTCCTGTGTTTGTCCCCTGCTTTGCCAAATCCACTCCTCCTCACCTCTGTCAGCAAACGGGCCTGGGGACCTTTGGAGAGGGTGGGAAGGACCGTCTCGCACGGGGGCTGACACTCGGGAAGATTCCATCCGTCCTGCAGGGCTGTCTGAAGTCGGCTTCCCCTGGGACCAGGCTTCCAGGGGAAGCCATTTATTTGGGAAGGGCTCCCAGGAGCGAGGAGAGGAGGAAGCAGCAACTGTGACATTGAGCAGGTTACTGCGGGACACCTGGCGCTTGTCCCCTGGGGACGGTGGACAGAGGCGCAAACTCCCCTACCTCCCCTGGGTGTGGGAGCTGGGCCGTGGGAGCAGCTGCCCGTCCCTGGGCGGTCACTGGGCGGTGGTCCTGGGACCTCAGCCTGCCCATGGCCGTGTGAACCGGCTGCTGGGCCCAGAGAGCCTCGGGAGGGGGCAGGGGCCGCGGCCTGGGGACTGTGCGCAGCCCTGGCTGTGCCTCCTGGTGCTGCCACCTACTCGCCGGGTGGCCTCCATTGCCTCATCTGTAACAGGAATCTGTCCCCCCTGCCCAGCACCTCCTGGGCCGTCCCGCAGGGCACTCCCTTCCCCACAGCTACCTGGAGATGGCGCTGCTCTGTGGGGTGCTCACCCCTGGGCCTCCCACACTTAGGCGGGGTCGGGGTCACCAGGAGGGGCCTCTGTAGCTGCGGAGCCCGTGGGGGGACCGCCTGCCGCCCCTCCTCCCAGCCCCTCCCGGGGAGCCCAGAGCAGGGTTGGGGAATTAAAGCCATAAACAAGGCAGATGTGGCATCCGTCTTTTTGACAGCCCTGCCAGCCAGGTGATGGCTGCGCGGAGGAGGCACGGTTTACGAGGAGACAGGGAAAATGTACTGCCTGCTGCTCCCAGGGCGGGGAGCTGGGGGGCGACGGCGCAGGGTGGCTGGGGATGTGTGGGGGACGCCAATCACCCGCCTGGGCCAACAGCCACAATAACAACAGTAATAAAAATGGAAGAATAATAACAGCGAATGTTTACATAGCACCGTTAATTGAAGAGTGCAGGTTGTGCCCAATTCTAGGGTTTGGCCTTTTGTCTTTACAAAAACCCATTTCACAGACGAGTAAACTAAGGCCCCAAGAGGTTAAGGACTTGCCCCAGGGAGTAAGAAGCAGAGCTGGGATTTGAACCCCAGAGCCATCTGGCTCCAGAGATGTCCTGCCTCAGGCCAGCTGATGTCCCAGCCCCAGGTCACCCCAGACTCTTTTGCAGAATCTTCCCAGCTCCACATCCCCAGAGGAACCAAAGGAGCCTCCCTCCTGGGGACAGGAAGGGACCCGTGTTTGGGAGCACCCACTGTGCACCTCTGTGAACCATGCGAAGAACCTGCTGTCACTCAGACCTTCCGCTGCAGGGTGGTGACAGGGTCCTGGCCCTGCCCCTCAATGCTCCTTCTCACTTGTTCAGCCAGGAGACCAACCAGCACTGATTAAGAGGCTGACTAGGTGCCCAGCCTATGCTAGGCTTGGTCGAGGGGACAGACCTGCTTTGGAGAGTCCCCCAAGCCCTGCAAATGGCAGATAATCTGGCCTTGCAGACAAGGTGGCAGAGGGTGGGGTGGCCTGGCAGCCAGTGTCATGGGCTCCAGGGCAGGCTATCCATGAGGCCAGAGGAGGACCCAGGACTCCTGGAGGAGGTGTCACCGAGGAGGCAAACCTTCAAAGACA